ATACGATTTGGTGCGGATATTGAGGAAGATACGGAGGTGAGGAAATTCTTGGATATTTGATTAGAAGGTAAAGTCGTAAAAAAATTTTCCGAAAGGATTAGAATTTGTTTACTTTCGATTAAAAATCTTGGCGTTCTAAGAAAAAGAAGTTTCTGACTTTTGCTCACAGTGATTCAAAATAAGAGTTTCATTTATGGGAATATGACTTGTTACAGACTTCACTCATCGACATGCAGGAGATGCAGGAGGATATTCTTGCGATGTCCGTTGAACAAGGTGCCAATATCAAAATTGACAAGAAAATCCATATCCCTCCTGTGGTTCCAAGGTGATCAAATTTTCATCGAGGTAGTGGTTATCCTAGAGAGCAATATTTTCCTCCTATTCTTACTGTTCGGAATTTGCTATTCTTTCCTTAAATTCTCAATAGGTTCAGTTACTTTTAGTACCCCAACGGCAATCTCGCAACGCCAAGATTACCATCGTGACGAGCACGGAGGTCGCTTCAATCTTAGAAGAAAATCCCATATCCTTAGCGGTCGCCTTTCCATAAGTAGCCAACGATCACGTACCTCTCTCACATCACTTCCACTAATCCAGAGATTAATGCTCATCACCTATAAGTATACCATAAGAGTCAAAAGTGGAGGTTAGTTGATTATGCATGTTGGGAAACCCTTGAACAATTTATTCGCGGCGGCATTATGTAAATCATGGGATCACGGTGTGCGTTTGGGCTGAATTGTTCATGACGAAAAAAAAAACTTTCAAGCCCTTGAATTTAGGTGTGGATATAATCACAATGAATGTGCCAGTGATTATTGGCTCGAGGCCATTAGCTCATACAGTAAGTAAGGATCTTACAGTCAGGTGGGAGCTTCATTTTGCGTGAATTTTGTTTTGTTCGACAGCTTCTAGCTGTACTGTCGAAATTGTCAATAGCAGGGACACGAATTGCACTGCCGTGTACAAACTGTGCAAACATGATCGAGCGATTCCATTACTGGATAGTAAGGAGCGAACACTGTGCAACAAAGCTCAGGTAGAAGTTGTAAACACGTAAACTACTTGGATTCCCCTTATTGTGTGTACTGTTGTAGAAGAGCGGTCTATCCTTTGCAGCAATGTATAAGAGGTTGTGCGGTTCTGTGACTAATCGAATTCCTTGCATACGTTCGTGAAAGTGGTAGCTTTTTGTGTTTGCAGATTGAATAAGTGTTCAGCATCTGAACAGACCGGCTTTGCTCCCAAAAAGCAGCTCTAGAGTTTCTTCTAATTAAGTGCCTCAATGTTTGACGAAAGTGGTTGCCAGTTCATGTCACAGTTCCTGGAAAAAAGTTGAGATCAGAAAATTGGAGCAAGATTGAACAAACTTGTTGTCTTTTTGTTCTGTTTGAGAATCAGGAGTATTCCAGATAAAAATTCGGATTTTCTTCTCAATCGATTTTATAGAAATTTGGAGGGCCGATATCTCTAAGTAGAATTAAACAT